AACCGTAGCACCAGAGCCCATTCTTCCTTGTCAGTCTCAACCCAAAGAAGTCACCATTCCTAGTTACTTGTCACCACATAACTGGTGTTGATTGGAACCTTTTTCTGAAATGGGGCAGAACTGCTTGGTTGTCTTTTTCCATGTAACTTAAGCATAGTAATATAAATAAAGTAATAGTTGGAAAAAAAAGGTGCTGAGGTAGTAATACTGAAATTAACATTATCATTTCTGTGCCTTCTTTTTGCCATGTTTCAGTACTGTCTTACATCTGAATGTACAGATTTGCAAAGCTGTCACCAGAGCTGGGAAGACATGGCTGCGCCATTTCCATGGAAGGGCACCACAGGCTATAGAACACAGCACAGAGGTTGGGTGTTCCTTAGCCTTGGTGTCTGTCGTCGTGGTTTGAGATGTCCCCATGTTTGGTACCCTGCAATATTTGTCAGGAAATTGAGGCAGTCTGCCTGGCCTGTCTGAGCCTCAGGTCAGAAAGGCAGAGTTGCAGAAGGATATTGCTGTCATCTGTCTTCAGTATGAGAGAGAAACAGGGGGCTTCAGGATGAGGAGCTGTAGGTGATGCTTGCTCAGGGACATGGGAATACCACAGACCTCTGTGCTAATACTTTTAAAACTTCCACTTAAGGGTTCAGAAGCCAGAGTAAGTAATATCTRATTATTTCTTTGATTATCTTGAAGGCAAATTTAAAAAACTTTATGAAAAAACTTTCTGTTGTTAGAGTTCTGAGCCTTCTGGTTACTGATATTATTGGGGGGGGGTCAGAATAAGAAATAGAGGCCACTCTGAGTACTAAAGTGAAGGGGAGTTTAGGTGCTCAGGCATAAGTGTTTAGAAGAGCTGGAAGAGTGGATGCCACCGTGTGTTTCAAGGTCCTGCCCCCTCAGTTGCTGTGGGAGATCAGGAAATCAATTCTGCTCCTGCTGCCACCTCTGCAGCCKTTAAGCTKCCTCAGGCTCCAGATGCTGGGGACTGGACAGTGGAGTGTGGAGTCCGCAGCCATGCACACACTGTGAGAGGCAACTTGTCAGGCTGCTCAGCCCCAGAGTAATAATAATCCCTGCCTCCCAAGTCTCTCTCGAGAGTCTCATCATGAACCCAGTCACATCAGAAGCTGCTGTGAGGCCCTCTGGGCAGTGTGCTTAGGGCAGAGCTGAGCCCTGAGCTGGCAGATGGTGTCCAGCAGGAACTTACCAGGAGGACTCACTTTTCAAGCTTGGCAGGGAAAAGTCTCCTCTGCTTGTTTTCAAAAAATTCTGTAATCAGAGACCAGGCTCTGAACCTAGTCCTACCCATCCCTCTCTGGCTCTGTGGTAACCTATTACATATTCAGTTCAGCTGTTCAGGAGGGAAGGGATTTAAGAGCACAACGGCCCCTCAGTGAGTCCCACAATGTGGCTCCTGGACCTGAGGTAATGGTACAGTGTGGTAAGGTGGTGGCACCCTCTTCCCACCCTGAATGGAGCTGTGTACACATCCACCTGTGTGTCTTTCTGTAGGGCCTCTGGCCCTTGGCCCTCCAGGTCCTTATCCCTGGCGTTGTGGTTCTAGGTCAGTCATTGGTGGTCAGAAGTGTGGGTCTGAACCAGACTACTGGGTTCAAGTGCTGTCTCTGCTATGTACAAGCCCAAAGACTGTGGGCAAAACTAGTGAGCTCCCCTCTTAATGGGGATGACAAATGATTCTGATAAAAAGGGGAGAGTAATCCCACTTCTTTGTGACAACCAAAACATTCATTCAATCAAATTGTTGTCTAATCCCAGAGGCTCAGGAAACTGAGGCAGGAGGATCATGAATTCAAAGCCAGTCTCAACAAAAGGGAGGTGCTAAAAAACTCAGTGAGACCCCTATCTCTAAATAAAATACTAAATATAGGGTTGGAATTGTGGCTCAGTGGTTGAGTGCCCTTGAGTTCAATGCCTGGTACCCCCCAAAAAGTTATCAAATACCTCCTATGTTYCAGGGATTCTGCCACAAGGAGAGTTGCATCCCTAAGCCTCCTCTTCCCATTCATTATGGGGATAATGATATTTATGATATGGGAATGGAGAAKATTTAATCAGACAGTTCACACAGAGGTTCTACTGTGATGCATGGCATAATAAATAATTCATKTTGACTCCTGCTGCTGTGGCACAGACACAAAAAATGGTGATAGACATCCTAGGATTGACCTTGTACTGGCCATCCTAACTGGTRGGGTGCTGTGGGTACCAGTGATGAAACATTTTGAATATCACCCCATTTTTACCATTAGGTCAGAGATCTTCAAAGGGACAGTATTTCAGTGGAGCATCATAAGAAAGCAGGAAATACTATTTTATGTTGTTTTATAGACACCATCAAGAGAAGCTAGARGCTGGCAACTGTGACCACAGGCAGAACTCACCTGTGGTTGAAAGGTCTGGACGGAAGAGGAAGTGCTTGGAAGAAAGACAGGATTCTAGTCAGAAGAAATCCCTAGAGCCCAAAACAAAAGGTCCGTAAGTTCCACCAGCACTCCAAAGAGACCAAGASTAGAATAATTCAGATTCCAGGGCTGAGCCACCGCCCTTGGGATTTCACATCTGGTGCCCAGAAGGTGGCCCTGTTGACTTCATGAAGGAAGAGAGAGTGAAAGGTGCTCTGCGCTCACTTCTCCTGCAGTGCACTTTAGCTTTTGAGGTGTCCAGGATCATTTTTGGAAATCTGAATCTTATAAAAATTGAACTCTCTTTCCTGAAAAACACATACGTACAGTCATTGTAACCGTGGGGGGTTATTGGAGAAGCCAACTCTGAAACTCTGCTTCATTCTTCTCCCAGGTGTGCCAGAGGTGAAGTTGCTGTGTGGGGCAGATTTACTAGAGTCCTTCGGTGTGCCCAATTTGTGGAAGAGTGAGGACATCACCCGAATCGTGGCAGACTATGGGCTCATATGTGTCACTCGGGATGGAAGTGATGCTCAGAAATTCATCTATGAGTCCGATGTGCTGTGGAAACACCAGAGCAACATTCACCTGGTGAACGAGTGGATCCACAACGACATCTCGTCCACAAAGATCCGGAGAGCCCTCCGAAGGGGCCAGAGCATTCGCTACTTGGTACCAGATCTGGTCCAAGAATACATTGAGAAGCATGATTTGTACAGCTCTGAGAGCGAAGACAGGAATGTTGGGGTTGTCCTGGCTCCCTTGCAGAGAAACACTGCAGAGGCGAAGTCATAGAAATGCTACAGCTTGACAGTTTGGATCACTCTTCTGGAGATTTTAAACAATCTGGTGTTGTAACTCAGGAAAGAAATCTTTATCTTTCATAAACAAAATTTTAAAAATYTGATAAAAGTCAGTTGGAAATTAAAATAAGATTTATGTTTTCTTTTTATCAGAGTGGCTGAGATGAATGTTTTTAATAAGGCCTTAAAAAAAAGAATTTACAAATCACTTTATTTTTAAGAGACTAGTAGTTCACTAAAACCTGAAAAAATATTAATGAAACTAATTCCAAGTAAGTACCACACAAGAGAAAACAAAGTGTGAAAAGCAAATGTCCACTCCAGATTCTGATTCTAGCCGGGTACTGCTTAAGAGGCTGAGGCAGGAGGATCACTTGAGCCCAGAGTTCAAGACCAACCTGGCAACACAGCCAGATCCTGACTCAAAACAAAACAGAATCAACCCCCACCAAGCCTAACTTTAGTTATGAAAGGAACTGACATTTTATATATGCCTATTGTAGGGCTCTCCACCAAGATGGACAAGGGAAGGAATTCTTCATCTTATTTGAATTTTTTTTTTTAATTACTGGGAATTTAACCCAGGAGCCCTCTACCACTGAGCTACACTACCAGTCCTTTTTGTTTTATTTTTTATTTTATTTTTTAAATTTTTTTTTAGTTGTAGATTGTCACAATGTCTTTATTTTTATGTGGTTCATAAAAATATTTTTATGGGTAAGGATCAAACCCAGGGCCTCATGCGTTTGAGGCAAGTGCTCTACCTTCGAGCTACAACCCCAGCCCATTTTTTTGTTTTATTTTTGATAGAGGGTCTCTAAATTGCTGAAGCTGGCCTTGAATTTGTGATCTTCCTGCCTCGGCCTCCTGAGTTATTTGAGATTACAGGCATATGCTACTGTGCCAAGCCCCAGAGAGAGCTTCTTATGGTTTGTTAAAATTGTTCTACAATAGAAACAGGATCATGGTTAAATTCCCAACAAAAATAGAATAATTTACTTTTTTGTAATTTATATTTATTACCTATACCACTCCAGATGAAGGTTTATAATTCTTCTTCAGAAAAAAAAATACAATTGTGCAATTGTTTAATCAGATATGAAGCTACAGTTGGAAAAAGGAAAATGTTAAATAAAGTTGACAAATGTTTACTCTACCACACCCAACTTAATCTTTTGCAGGAGTGGGGGTTTATTTACTTATTTTTATGTGATGCTGAGGATCCAACCCAACGCCTCGCACAYGCTAGGCAAATGCTTGAACCCTGAGCCACAATTCCAGCCCTATTTTGTATTTTATTTAGAGACAGGGTCTCACTGAGTTGCTTAGCACCTCACTTTTGCTGAGGCTGGCTGTCTTTGAATTCATGATCCTCCTGCCTCAGCCTCCTGAGCTGCTGTGATTATAGGCCTGCGCCACCATGCCTGGCCAAACTTATCCTTACTAAACCTGTCAGGCCAACTGGAAAAGACAGGAGAGGCACAAAGCCTGGCACCCATGTGATTCAGCCGGAGTCCACCGAGTGAATAAAGGGTCAGAATCTCAGATCATAGAGATGAGGATCATTTCCTCCACCCACTTGACTTTCGGAGCTTAAAGTTTGAAGTAGRCCTGAAAAATAACCATCTACAGGCAGATGAAACTATCAAACTTGCTCTAAGTTCCAGAAAAGCTCACCTCAGGGCTGGAGATATGGCTCAGTTGCTGGATTGCTGGCTTTGTATGCACAAGGCCCTGGGTTCAATACCCAGCACCACAAAAAAAAAAAAAAAAAAACTCACATCATTCATCAGAAGCTTCTTCCCACTTCCAAGTGCCCACACTCTGTTTATCTATACTGACATCAGGACCCGCTGGGAATGCAGGCAGGGGACATTCCCAAGACATGTATTGTCTAGGAAAGAATTTTATTGTTACACTATTTATGGAATAGCAGCTTTGTACACAGATCCTGCTGCCAGGATATCTGTTGCAGAATAGCAGAATAGCATAGTTTTGGGTGTCCTCCAGAACAGAACATTCTCTTTGGATAATGAAGATTAGAACAATTAATTTCACAGGGAAACAGGTATTCTCCACTGTGGGGATTTCCTTTAAGTGAGAGAAAAATATGCCATTGTTTATTCCTTATAAATTTTTTTTCATAATATGCTTTTGGAAGGTGAATTGAGAATATAGGAAATGGGTGATGTTGGTGATTTGTTTGATGTTGGTRGTTTTTATGGGTGGAATTCTGCTCCTTGCATGGTATAATTTGAGTGCAGCAACTAAACTTAGCAGTGAAAGTCCTTTACTGGCATCTCTTCCGAAAAAATATAGCGCATGAAGAACATCTTTGTTGTTTATCTGTGTGTACAGAAAATCTATTTGGTATGAGTGGTTCTCTTTGGTGATGCAGGTACAGGGATTGAGCCAGAGGATCCATCAGGTTTATCTCCTTGTACCAAAGGATGCTTTCTTTCYGTGCCATCCTGACAATCTGACCTAAGTAAAGGGAGATGCTGTCTTTTTCCAAACTCTCTGATTCTCTTCTCTAGGAGCCCAGTAGTTGCTATGTTATGAAATGGGCTCCTTTAACATTTATTTCAGGGTACTATAGGAAGTTCATTACTCTGTCACTCTCAAGATTGTTTCCAAAGGCTTCCATCTAAATCACCCACCATGGTATCCACTCAACTGTGAGAAGGCATAAACAGTGCCCATCTCTGAAATCTGCACCTTGTTTGCCAGTGGTGCTGTTTGAACTTTATAATGCCAACACTTATTGAGCCCTTACTGTGTGTTGGGCATGTGCTACTGAGTGCTTACATCAAAAAGAATCTGATCATTCCTATAATCCCAGCAGCTCAAAAGGCTGAGACAGGAAGATCATGAGTTCAAAACCAGCCTCAGCAACTTAGCGAAGCCCTAAGCAACTTTCGAGACCCTGTCTTGAAATTAAAAAAATAAAAAGGGATGGGAATATGGCTCAGTGGTTAAGAACACTGAGTTAAAAAAAAAAAAAAACACCATGTCTTGGCCAAATCACTAGCATCAAACAAAAGGAAAGAAAGTGCTCRATTTTGGCCAAATAAATTTCTTCACTCTTTCCAGAGATAACCTTTGGTACTGACTAGGAGGAAGATCTATAGGCAAGTCCAGCCTCTGACCACATCAACTGAAATTCAGTCCATCCCTACAGGATGACCCCTGCTCAAACTGGCCCAAAGCCATACCAACTAGCACAAAGGCTACAATAATTAGTAGTATTTCCATGGCTTTCATTTTCAGGTCAAGTTTGAGAACAATAAGATTTTAAGGAGAGGAAGTATGATTTTTCCATGTCCTGTTCCCATGCTCTGGAAATCTGGTCAGAGTTCATGGTTCCGGCTCCTTTAAATGGCAAGGTATATGTAAGCCTGTCAGATTCCACCGAGTAAATCAGTGTCTCATGAGAACTGGCAGCTCATTCTGGGCAAGGTGCTGTTACTTGGGCTTCTCAAGAAAAATGGCATTTCTCTCTTGCCATTTTCTCTCTTGGGAAAGGTCAAAATCATTCATTCATTYAGTCTTAGACATTTATTAGGCACTTGCCAAGCACTGTGGTAGGCCTGGGAATACTGTAGGGGGGAGTGACAGGAACACGGTCTCTGCCTTGCATGAAAAAGGCAGTCAGTAAATAAGGAGAAAAGAGATGTTTGTAGAATATGGCAGTTATGAAGGGCACAAGCCGAGCTGTGAAGTGGAGCATGTGGATGTCAGCATTGTACTGAAGGCTGTTCTGAGAAGGGGACTCAGAGGTTTTTTGTTTTGTTTTGTGGTGCTGTGGGTGGAACACAGGGCTTCACACATGCTGGGCAAGTGCTTTGTCACTTTTTAAAGTTCTAAGCCAATGGAGAAATAAGATTTTTTTWAAATCATCAAGTAAAAAATTAAATGGCACCTTATTACTAATRGTCTAGGTTAGAAGTTGTAACTTAGTGTGAGGGCCATTGTTGGTATGGTTTCCAAGATGGCTATAACAATCTCTCCCATCCTAAATGCTCTTCTCACAATGTGACATTGACACTCCTCCCATGGAGGGATGAGGTGCATRTTCCTTCCCTTTGTTTTCTCAATCTGGGAACATAGCCTCACATGTTCTGGRCAAGCACTGTACTACTAGGCTATACCCCCAGTACAGCTCCCTCTCTGTGAGTTCCAGAAAGCCTGGGACTCTGGTAGAAATGATTTAATATGACATCTGAGACCAGTACAGTTTCTTCCTGGTTCTYTTGGACTCTCTGAGAATCCAGTCTCTGGTGCTGTGAAGGAGCCCAAGCACTCCCCTAGAGAGTCCCACATAAAGAGGGACCTGGCCCCTGCCTCCCAGGCCCAGATGAGCTCCCTACTAGCACACAACTAGCATCAGTTTTCTGRTCATGAGCCTAAGCCATTCTGAAGAGCCTTCAAGTCAACTTACTTTACTCCAGCTAATGCCACACTGAATTAAGATGAACTGTCCCTAGGGAGTCCTGTCCAAATTGCACATTAGTGAGTAATGAATTTATTTATTTACTTATTTAGTTTTTGGYGGACATAACATCTTTGTTTGTATGTGGTGCTGAGGATTGAACCCKGGCTGCACGCATGCCAGGTGAGCGCGTTACTGCTTGAGCCACATCCCCAGCCCCGAATTTTTTTATTTTTATTACAGGGATTGACCCCAGAGCTTCATACATGTTAAGCAGACAGACATTCTATCACTGAACTATACCCCAGTCAATTTCTATTATTTTCAGGCTAACAGAGTTTGTTTGTTTGTTTGTTTGTTTTTATGGGGGGTAATAATTGAAACACTATTCCAGTCTGGACTTTTACCTAAGGGAAAATTTGGATCTGTAAAATAAACACACTTCCAGTTTCACTTTGGGGTTAAAAATTTTGTTAGATTAACTCTCCCTGGTGGATTAAAGTGGCTCAGTGGCTACAGCCCCGAGGACAAGCATTCATTCCAGTTTGCAAGTTTTGTACTTTCAGCAAGAAAAGTTCCATGTCCTAAGCCCTCCTTTAGTTCCAAGGAAACCAGGACAGGTAATCATCCTAGTTGCCCCCATCYAAGTAGCTCATCCTACCTTCATGAGGAGGAAGCTGATGGTGGACAGAAGCTGCAGGCGTCTAGAGACAATTCTCCCTGTTGGAGAGTGGGATTGGAAAGACTGTTCCCTGAACAGTGCTCTGGAACTACAAGCCAAAGGACTTAATCATACAAAAATCAACCAATCCCACCCTGGGAAGAAGAATACCAAATACCAAGCTCTGGAAGAAGGAAAACTGGAATGACTGGAGCCACTGAGTTTGGACAGACAGAAGGTAATGCAGCTGGTGAAGTAGCCAGAGGCTGATCAAGAAGGGCTCTGTAGAGCGCTCRCCTAGCAAGTGTGAGGCCCTGGTTTGATTCTCAGCACCACATAAAAACATATAAATAAATAAAAGGTAATGTGTCCAACTACAACTAAAAAATAAATATAAAATATACATATATACATATGTGTGTGTGTATATATATATACACACACATATGTATGTATGACCTCTGACACATATGTATGTATGACCTCTTCTGTCCCTTCCCTCACCACTCCCCACAGCTTTTTCACCCCCTCCTTCCCATACACACACACCATTTTTATTTTTTGGGCCATTACCCCATATTCCTTATTGCTGCCAAAACCACAGACTGGGGCTGAGGCTGAGGCTGGGGCTGGGGCTGGGGCTGGGGCTGGAGCTGGATGGAAAGATACCTCCCCCCCTACCCATACCCCTCCTGTGTGGTTGGAAAAGTTTTTTCCCATTTTGTGTTTTGTTTCTAAATGAAAAAGATTCTACTAAAAAAAAAAAAAAAGTTCACCCTGGCTGCAGTGTGGAGAATGGTTGGAAGACTCCCAGGAAAAGCAGCAAATCCAGACACACACTTCTGTAGTGGTCTAGGCAGCTCAGGTTAAGATGGCAAAACAGCAGGACTTGATGACTGATTGGATTTGGGTGCCTAGGGAAGGGAGAATTCAACAATACCTTCCTGGTTCTTGGCTTGAGCAACCAGATGACTAATGGCAGAGTTTATGGAGATGAGAAGAACTGGAGAAACTTTTGTTCTTAAAATTTCTTTCTTTGGGGCTGGAGTGGTGGCTCAGTTGTAGAGTGCTCACCTAGCATGCATGAGGCACTGGGTTGGATCCTAGGCACCACATAAAAACAAACTAATGTATCCATCTAAAAAACTAAAGAGGGCTGGAGATGTGGCTCAAGCGGTAGCGCACTCTCGCCTGGCATGCATGCGGCCCGGGTTCGATCCTGAGCACCACATACAAAGATGTTGTGTCTGCCGAAAACTAAAAAATAAATATTAAAAAAAATTCTCTCACTCTCTCTCTCTTTAAAAAAATAAAAAAACTAAAGATACATAAATAAATATTTTTTAATTTTTTTCTTTCTAGGATGTGCAAGTTTCAGATATCTTTAAGACATTTATAAGTGGAGACAGAGTAGAAGGTGACAGGTGGCATATGAGCTCAGGGTCTCTTCCACCAACTGTATGATCTTCAGCAAATTACTTAACTTCTCTGTGTCTCAGTTTTGTCTCTGTCAAACAGAGATAATAAAGTAACTATTGGAGAAGAATACAATTTCGTGACAAATGATAATACACAAAGTTAGCTGTCAATATATTTGAGACGTGGGGCTGGGGATATAGCTCAGTTGGTAGAGGGCTTGCCTCACATGCATAGAGTCCTGAGTTCAATCCCCAGCACCACAAAAAAATATATGTGTTTGAGACTGGAGCTCATGGGGAAGGTCAGAAGTGCACGTATAAGCCAGGTGAGGTTGCTCAGGCCTATAATTCCAGCAGCTGGGGAGGCCTAGGCAGGAGGATTGTGAGTTCAAAGCCAGCCTCAGCAAAAAAGTGAGGTGCTAAGCAATTCAGTGCCACCCTGTCTCTAAATAAAAGACAAAATAGGGCTGGGGATGTGACTCAATGGTGGAGTGCCCCTGAGTTCAATTCCTGGTACAAAAAAAAAAAAAGACAAGAAAGAAGCGCTGCACATATAAAGGCTAGGGTCATAGCTCAGTTGTAGAGCACTTGCCTAGCATGGTAAGGCACTGGGCTCGATCCTCAACACCACATAAAAATTAATTAAATGAAGATATTGTGTCCAACTTTTTTTTTAAAAAAAGGAAGAAAATATTTTTAAAAAAGAGAGATGCACATATAAATCTTGGAACCAACATATATGGATGGTGTCGGGGGCTAATGTCGCAGGTGAGCCCATACTCCCACTCCTTCTCCCTTCTCTACTGCAGTGGCTAAGTACTGGAGACGGATTCCCACAGGCTCCCTCGAGGTTAGAAGCAGCCTGGGGCGGTTTTAAGAGGTAAACAAAACTCTGCTGAGAAGGTTTCTGCCAAGGGGGTAACGGCCAGTGGTGCTTCAGGTGGTGCTTCAGGTCTTCCCCACCTTGGGTCWGGATGTCCTGGCTGGAAACCCAGCAGCCAACTCACGACAGTGAGGTAACAGGCACTAAGGGCCTCGGCAATCCGAGCTGCTGCTGCTTTGTGGAGCTGCGAGCCATCCCCAGCAAGCGCTCATTGGGAAGAAAAATAAGCCCCTGTTTATTGAGATCCCTGTTCACAGAGTTGGGCTTATGGATATATTGGTATTTGCAGTTGATACAGTATTTAATGTCAGGAGTTTGAAGRCCATTCTTGGTCATTAACATGTAGGCAGAGGGACAAAAAAGCGGGGCGGTAGGGAACATGGTCTGGGTTTCGCCTGTGTTTAGAGGTAAGGGAGAGGAGCCAGCCCCAAGGGAGCCCAAGTTGCCAAGGGCGGGGGCAGTGGCTAGCGCGCAGGCTGAAGAAGCGGGCAGCCAGAGGGGCCCCCCTGGGAGCTCGGCGCTGCGGGCGGTCCAGCCCCTCCCACGCTGCCGTCCTCTCGGCCCCGCCCCCGCCCCATTTGGAAAGTACTGGCTGTGCAGCCGCCGCCCGCAGGTGTTGGCCGCTGACCCCCGACCATGCCGGCTGACCTGAGTGGCACCTGGAACCTGCTCAGCAGCGACAACTTCGAGGGCTACATGCTGGCCCTAGGTAAGAGGGGCCCGCGCCATGAGGGGGACGCCGCAGGGGGCTCTGACCACCGGTCTGGAGCTCAGGGCGAAGGCGGCCGGGCCTGTCCTGTCTGTCGCCCGACCTTCCATCCCCCGTCCGTCCATCCCCGCGTCCTTCTGTCGGTCCATCCGTCCGTTCCCCTGACCCCCTGTCCCGCTACCCGTCTTCCCGCCTGTTCTCTCGGGGCCCTAGGCCGCCGGCCCCAGGGTCCCTCTGAGCCTCGTGTGGGTCTCTCTCCTCCCTGCGGACGCCTCTCGAACACCGGGGGCTGGACGAGGGCCTGGCGGGCAAGGCGAGGTCCCGGCACGTAGCCCCAGCCCCGCCACCTCGCCCCCCGCCGTGTTCAGCGCGGGGATGGCACCGAGGGCGCGGCGGTCCGGCAGGTGCTGGGGGCCCGCAGGTCCGGGGCCGCGTGGGAACTCCGACAGCTTCCGACGTCCCCTCCCTCGAGGGCTCCCGCCGGGAAAGGAACCCCSAGCGTTGGGAGGCCGCTTGCCGCCCACCGTGCTGTCCAGGGGCGCGACTCCCGCCCCGAGGACAGAGTCGGTCGGCGGTGTCTGCAGGGCGGGTGCCAGGCGCTGGGACCGTTTCCKCGGTGGCAATTGCAGATCAGCTTCAAGGGGACCTGGTTTGCCAGTGCGGCGAGAGGGATGAGCCGCTGGGAAGGGAACCCGGTCTCCCGCAAGGGTGTGGAGAGGGCCCGGTGGGGCTTCTGATCCCTGACYTCGCTTCCCCAAGGGCCATGTGAATTTGTTTCCTGCCATCTTGGTAGAGCGCCGCCCTGGGGCACTGATTCTGTCTGTCCTGTCCTTATTGTCATTTTTCAGATTTGGCGGGTTTCAGCACCTACTATGTGCCAAGCCTTTGCCTACATGACACCGTTCCGTGTCATCCACCCCAAGCCCGTACTGGGGTTGAACCTAGGGCCTCCAGCCTCCAGCGTGGTAAGCAAGCGCTCTACCACCTAGTTACATCTCCAGRTGTCTGTGGCACTTTTTTTTTTAGGTGTTTTTTTTTTGGGGGGGGGGCGGGGAAGGGTGTACAGGGGATTGAATTTAGTGGCGCTCTTTTTATTATTATTATTATTTTTTTAATTTTGAGACAGGGTCTCGTTAAATTGCTAAGGGTCTCCCTTAGTTGCTGAGGCYGGCTTTGAACTTGCCATCCTCCTGCCTCAGCCGCCTGAGTAGCTCGGGTTACAGGTTCTCGTTCTTGCCCAGCCAGATCTGATAGTCTTAAGTATGTCTAARGTACAGCCACAGAWCTCGTAGCATTTTATACAATAGCTGAAATCCAGCGTTAAAACCTATTCCAATTCCCAGTAAGCTGGGAAGGAAATGATTAGGCACACCCTTTTATTTGTTTGGCAAACACTCTACCTTCAGTGTGTACAGAATGGACTCTACAGTTCACTTGTTTTCCCCKGGTTGAATAAGTGGTCGAGGCCAGATGAGACTGTGGTCTTCTTATTGTGTAAAGTAGGGCTGCCTCATCCTAGATGACTACATTCATGAGCATAAGAAGCACACTGCTCTTTGAATTATCAAGTTGTCAATGAGACAACTAGTAGAATGTAAATACTGCAAAACCTAATGTCCCTGCTTGTGTATATTCTAATGCCAACATAAGCAGAAATATTCAGACTTCATGAAAACATCTGCTTCTGAAGATGGCAAACTAATGTACTGACTCTCCCATTGAAGACAGCTGAATTAAGCTAGATCAAATATAGAATATATACTTCTTTTTTATTATTATTTTTTAGTTTTAGGTGGACACAATATCTTTATTTTTTTTTTTAATTTTATGTGGTGCTAAGAATCGAACCCAGTGCTTCATGCATGCTAGGTGAGTGCGCTACCACTTGAGCCSCATCCCCAGCCCCAGAATATATACTTCTTAGGGAACATCAGAGAGCTACCAAAATAATAATCACCAGGCTGAAGTCTGGGAGAGAACTGGACTACAGGAGGTGAACCTATCACTTAGGGTGGCTCTTACCTTCAGGGTGTTTGCAAGACTAAGCCAGAATTTGGGGAGCTTCATGGKATAGGGGACAAAAGCTGGAGTCTTGAGTGGGCCAAGGGTAGAGACCCTGTAATTGCTCTACTTTGGGCTGGGACTTGGAAAAGCTGCACCAGAGAAGTAAAAAAGCATCTGGAAGTAAATGCTTCTTGAACAGACTGGAGCTTAGTTTTGTGTCATCTTGGTGGTCCAGAACAGTCTCAAGACCTGAGCTTGTGTTAAGGTGCTTCCAGATAATTAGGGTTCTTAGATAGCTGTAAAACAAGACATACTAACAAACAAACAAAATTCTCTTTTTTTTTTTTAAGAGAGAGTGAGAGAGGAGAGAGGAGAGAGAGAGAGAGAATTTTTAATATTTATTTTTTAGTTCTCGGCGGACACAACATCTTTGTTGGTATGTGGTGCTGAGGATCGAACCCGGGCCGCACGCATGCCAGGCRAGCGCGCTACCGCTGAGCCACATCTCCAGCCCCCCCAAAATTCTCTTTAAAGTAATTAAAAATTCTGCAAGATCTTAAATTGTTTCCATAAATACCTTCTCAAATACAGTGTCCATTGAATAAAGTTAATCAAACACATTGRGAGATAAGATCCCAATAGAAACAACAAACAAGTCAGGCATGCACCTGTAATCTCAGCTACTTGGGAGGCTGAGGCAGAAGGATCACAAGTTCAAGGTCAGCCTCAGCAACTTAGTAAAACCCTGTCTCAAAATAAAAAACAAAAAAGGACTGGGGATGTGGCTCGTTGGTATACCACCCTGAGTTCCATCCCCAGTTCCACAAAAATAAATAAATATAGCAAGACTGTTTCACTTACACAGTAGTGTTGATGAAAAGTAAGTAATAGATATTTTAAATTTGGCATTTGGCTTGTCATATTAATAATAGGATAAGTATTTTAAGGTACACTCTCAATGCCTAAACATGATTAACAACCAATAAGCCTGGATCATTCACATCTCAAGCTAAAAGCCGGAGTTCTAGGTAAAAACAAAATACTAAACAAAAATCCCCCCAAAAAAACAAAAATCAAAGCATTTTCTTAAGGACATTTATTTATACTCTCATCGTGGGCAGAAATGAATGAGGCTAATAAGTTGCCAAGGGAGCCTTGCTCAGTCTTGGCCACATTTTCTAGATGTGAAATGGAAGTGGGAGGCACTTGGCCGTGGAGAGCCTGCTAGCCTCTTTGCAGGGCAGTCCATTCCCGACAGAAACAAATCTTTTAGGTGAACACATGGAAGTGGGATCCACTCTAGGATCAAACTGCCTGCAACAAGGCATTTAAGTCTCTGAAATAAAAATTCCAGGGACTTTGTTTTAATAATAGGGTTAATCCCTCCCCCCATCCCAGCCTGACAGGTGAGAACCACGTGACTTTAGCTCAGGGCTATGTTCCTGCTGAGGACCAGGCATCTAAACTGTGGCTTCCTGCCACTTAGATCATGTCACCTACTCTAAACACTCCTAGGCTCCCATCTCACTGGGTCTAACTGGTCAAATTCTCTTTAAGTTTCGGAGGTTGACCTTGAATTTGGGATCCTCCTGCCTCAGCTGCCTGAGTCAGAGGATGAACCTTGGGCATTGCGCATGTGCTCTACCTCTGAGTCCCCGTCTCAAGGGGCAAAAGGCGCGACATCTGCAGTTAAAGGGGAGAAACAAAGATGTTCACGTACTTCTGCCTTTGTCAATGCTTATTCACTCAAATCACTCAATACAATTTCACTCTATAGGTTCTTGATCAAAGAAATGACAATCCTTAATGCTAGGCACTGCRTTAATTTGAGATTAATTGTGAGCACTGCGAACAAAATTATGACAGGCTCAAGACAGACTTTCCYTCTGCATGTTAAGTTCAAGTGTCAGATCAAAACTCTCAAGCCTGGGCTGGGGTTGTGGCTTAGTGGTAGAGGGCTCACCTAGCAGCATGCATGAGACACTGGGTTTGATCCTCAGCACACATAAAAATAAAATAAAGATATTGTGTCCACCTAAAACTAAAAAAATAAATATTAAAAAAAAAGTCTCAAGCCTTAGGCTTTAAGTTTAGCACATGCACATTTACTCAGACCGTGGTGATCAGGTCAGGAACCAAGGCAGGCTTCTCCTGGGTGACACTGATGGCTGACACTCAGGCCTAAGGCAGTCATAGGGAGAAGCTGTGACTCTCACCAGGGTCAAGATGTGGCTGTAGAGTTTTAGAGTGGTGAGGACCACGCAGAGGTTTAGACAGATGAGAAGAGTTGGGATGTCAATCCAGGTCCTCATCAGGTTTTCCAGCTTGTATGCATCGGTAACAGCTGGCTGAATATCTGTTCATTTGCTCTATTATTTATACTAAATTTTGAGGTCTTTGACCACCTTTCAATCCTTATCAGCTACCACTGGATTTCTCAGTGACATCATTTACCCTGGGTTAAAACTTCTGGTCTGGTGGTCCCCACCCTGATCTTTTCACCTTTCCCTCTTCTGGGTCCAGAACTGCCTGCCAGAGGCTTCACTCTGAGTTTATCAGGGTGGGGAAAAGGGACTTGTTTGTGTCTGTGGGCCACACCGGAGGGCTTTCTTAGGCATGCCTGATGAGACTGCAGGTTTCAAACTGGAATTTTTAAAATGGAGTTGCTTAGGCTCAGGCCTAAGGCCATCCTTACAGTCCCTGACACGTACTGTGCTGGAGATTGAACTTGAATGTGCTAGGCAAGGGATCAACCACCAAGCCACACCCCAGCCGTCTTGCCATTTTAATTTGAAGTATAAATATATGGAGCAGAAGACACCAGAGTTGAGGGGTGCAGTGGCGCACGCCTGTAATCCCAGCGGCTCGGGAGGTTTGAGACAGGAGGATTGTGAGTTCAAAGCCAGCCTCAGCAAAAGTGAGGTGCTGGGCTGGGGATGTGGCTCAAGCGGTAGCACGCTTGCCTGGCATGCGTGCGGCCCAGGTTCGATCCTCAGCACCACATACAAAGATATTGTGCCCGCTGAAAACTAAAAAAAATAAATATTAAAAAATTCTCTCTAAAAAAAAAAAAAAGTGAGGTGCTAAGCAACTCAGTGAGACCCTGTCTCTAAATAAAATACAAAATAGGGCTGGGGATGTGGCTCAGCGGTGGAGTGCCCCTGAGTTCAATCCCCAGTACCCACCCCTCCCCACTCCCCCAAAAAAGACACCAGAGTTGTTGAGATTAAGGCTGGGTTGAGCCCTGTCCCCTTGTCAGTTTATCGGAAGATTCACAGAACTGTTTCTGCCACACCCAGCTTCAGATGTATTACCTAAGGCCCAGCCCAACTAATGACCCTCCTGAAAGCCCTTCAAACCATTTTTATGAGTCTCTTGGTGGAGATTTCGTGGGGTAGCTTTTTCTATAGATCCAGTTTGGGCAGCAGAAGATATTGAAGTTGTAAAGACACTGGAGCAATCATATGCAACAATTTGGGGGACAACTACCAAATCCTTAGCTTTTGTATCTCAAGTGAATGTTCAGACTTTTWAAAATGTATATATTTTTCAGGTATTGACTTTGCCACTCGTAAGATAGCCAAATTGCTAAAGCCACAGAAAGTGATCGAACAAAATGGGGATTCCTTTGCCATCCACACATACAGTAGCCTAAGGAACTACCTCGTTAAATTCAAAGTCGGAGAAGAATTTGATGAAGATAACAAAGGACTGGATAACAGAAAATGCAAGGTAAGTGGCGTGGAGCTTAGCACAGTGGTAGAGGGCCTGGGTTTGATCTCCAGCAGCACACCCCCARAAACCAAACGAGGTAAAAATTAAAGTGATAACATAGACTCTTGATTTTGCAAGGTTAACTTGGCACACGAGTCTACTTAGTAATATTTGAGGATCCTGCTGGAACAAACCAACATTTTCTTTCCTTCCTCACATAGAGCTTGGTTACCTGGGATCATGACAGACTCACTTGTGTACAGAATGGGGAGAAGAAGAACAGAGGTTGGACCCACTGGATCGAAGGAGACAAGCTCCACCTGGTACCTGACATATTTTGCCCTTAGTTTTAATGAAGTCATGCAATATTAAAAGAAATGTTAAGCAGGAAACCTTGACCAGTAATCCTACTCTCCCAACTCAACTGTTTTTTGAATTTTCAAATTACCTTCCTTCTCTATCAGAATATTCTGCCTTTTTATTTAATAAAATAATAACCTTTTCCAGGTCTTTAAATCGTTTTCCCATTGAATGGACCATATATTTATTGAATACATCTAGTGGTCATAGGCAAGATCATTTTGTCCTTTTAAATCAAACACCCCACAGAATATGAATTCAAAATATTAAGCTTTCTCAGTTGAATTCAAAATGTTAAACTTACTAGGTTTCAAGCTCCACGTTGAAGTGATCAGTTTTGGTGACTTTACTATTATTAATATTTATAAAGACTTTCTAGGCAACTTTCAAGGAACTCTCAAATAGCTTTATAAATGTTAATTAGATTTTCTAAGGTCCCTTAAAGTTGCTGAATTATTGAGTACCCTTTAACCAACAGGCAGGGAGATTTAGACAGATTAAAATGATTTGTCCAAAGTCTCTCAACAACAAGAGGGGGGCGGTAACGGTAGAAGTCCACAGGTCCTGCATTTTGGGCACAAATAACCAAACTGATAGGCATGTGTGCTGTTTAAAGATCATCTTGAGGTACCCCTGAAGAGAGGAGGGAAGCCCCTCACTCATGCTGCTCTATGCATCTCTCCCGTGTCCTTTATCATGAACACATCACATAATCACAAGTGCTCGGGGCTGGAGTGCTGGCTCAGTGGTAGAGTGCACGCCTAGCACGCGTGAGACACTGGGTTTGAACCTCAGCACCACATAAAAACAAACTAATGTTTCCACCTAAAATTAAAGATACATAAATAAATAAATATTTTTTWAAAAAAGTGCTCTTCTGGGTTCTGTGAGCCATTCTGCTGACCTATCGAGCCAGAGGAGGTGGATCATGGGAATCCCCAACTTAAAGCTGGTTAATCAGAAGCACAGGTGGCCCTCTTAAGATAGGACTGAGCCCTTCACCTTGGGGTCTGTGCTGACTGTGGGAGGTAGCATCAGAACTGAACTGGTCTGTTGAACACCCAGGTGATRTCAGAGAGCTGTAGAAGTAGGGCGGGAAAGACTCCACACATTTGGTGTCAGGAGGAAAGAACCCTGCTTATTTGATGTCAGAGTGTTGAGCGTCAAAACAGACTATATGCCAACTACTTCTCTTCTTCCTTTCCTCCCTGTCTCAGGAAATGTTCTGTGAAGGTCAAGTGTGTAAACAGACTTTCCAGAGAGCCTGACCATACCCAGCAGCAGGGCCCACCTTCAGCTGCAGCTCAATGGCGAGTGACATTGCAGAATGAACCTTGTTCACCTGTCCTGGCGTGGTGATGGGGACTTGTGGCTGGAGAGACATCATGCAGCCTATACACCAGAAGCCATTTGGATTGTGGGAAAGCTGCACAGCTTCAATAAACCTCTCCAGGCGACTCTGATATTTTTCTTTTAAAGTTAGCATGGCCTATTGTTTAAAGAATCACTTGAAAGCTGTCTTGGTGCACAAGGTACACACCAGTGGTACATACTGTGTGTTATGGCTTCAATCTCTGGGTTTAGGGGCACAGTATTCAGTTCATAACTGAAGGTGTGGAGGAGTAAGTCAGTCATAGGACCCAGTATAGATTTAGGGACACAATTGGGCGGAACAGGGCAATAGGGTGCAAATCTCTGAAGTCTAAGGCTTCAAAAGATTKTTTTGGGGGGGGCTGGGGATGTGGCTCAAGCGGTAGCACGCTAGCCTGGCATGCGTGCGGCCCGGGTTCGATCAACAAAGATCTTGTGTCCACTGAGAACTAAAAAATAAATATTAAAAAATTCTCTCTCTCTCTCCTCTCTCACTCTCTCTTAAAAAAAAAAAAAAAAAAAAAAAAGATTTTTTTTTTCAGATACTGGGGATTGAGCCCTGGGGTGCTCTACTATTGAGCTAGATCCACGGCCCTTTTTATTTATTTTGAGACAGGGTCTCCCCAGGTTGTGGGGGGTTGGCCTCAAACTTCTGATCCTCCTGCTTCAGCCTCCCAAGAGGCTGAGATTACAGGTGTGCACCACTGTGCCTGGCTTAAACCTTGCAATTTGTCCCTGGAAATATCCAAATAGGATTTTTATTTTTATACAAAGGATTGAACCCAGCTGTGCTTAACCACTGAGCCACATCCCCAKCCCTTTTTACTTTTTATTTTGAGACAGGGCCTCATTAAATTGCTTAGTGCCTCGCTAAATTACTGAGCCTGGCTTTGAACTTGTCATCCTCCTGTCTCAGATTTTGGAGCCTCTGGGATTACAGGCTTGCATCAAAACGTTTCTTTATAAAAAAAATTTACGCATTCCAGCAGCCCACACAACAAAAGGGAAGCTTATTATGGTTTTAGCCTTCATCCTTCTCCCCCTGCACATAGCTCTTGCTTTCAGGCATTTTTAATTTATTTTTATTCTTTAATTAAATTTCCTTTATGTTTTTGCGATGCTGGAGATCGAATCAAGCATTGTTTAAAAAGAAAAAAAGATTTTTAAGTGCTGGAAATGAAGYAGAAAAACGTGGCTTCATAATTGCAACAGCCTCTCCCTCTGCTCCAAGGTCAAGGCTGGCGCGCAGCTCCCCAGCCGCTTGGGCTCGGGTTCTGCAGGCGGAGGGAGCCCTTGCGGCTGCGCGGTGTCGGGGTGCGGAGGGTGGCGGGGTCGCATTCTACGCAGCGCAGCGGGATCGCGGGGCTCCTTCAGTCCCTAAATTAGAGATGGGCCAGCCGTGCGCCCTCGCRGCCCGGCAGAGGGAATGATAATAACAGAGCAATAACAGGAGAAAAATGTATGGGATTAGAAAGGAGAATTCTGCCTGCCTGGGGACCCKGCTTCTGGAAGAGACCCGGGAGAACTCCGCGCCCCAGACCGGGAAGRGGCTGCCAAGCCGAGGTCGGGGGCCACCCAGAGCCATTGCTGGTAGCAAAGGGTGGCCAGGGACCCTGTGTAGGGCCCTCGGGGAAGGGAGGGATTTTTTTTTTTTTTTTGGCACCAAGGATTAAACCCCGGGGAGCCCCCCCGCCCCCCGCCATTGGGCTGCATCCCGAATCCTTTATTAAGAAATATTTGTTGTTGTTGTTGTTGTCAATGGACCTTTATTTTATTTATTTATATGCGGTATCAAGAATCAAACCAAGGGCTGGGGATGTGGCTCAAGCGGTAGCGCGCTCGCCTGGCATGCGTGCGGCCCGGGTTCGATCCTCAGCACCACATACCAACAGGGATGTTGTGTCCGCCGAGAACTAAAAAAAATAAATATTAAAAATTCTCTCTCTCTCTCTCTCTCTCTCTCTCTCTCTTTCTCTCTCCTCTCTCACTCTCTCTTTAAAAAAAAAAAAAAAAAGAATCAAACCAAAAAAAAAAAAAAAGAAACCCAGGGCCTCACCCAGGCTAGGCGAGCCACAACCTCAGCTCCTCTCCAGTACTCTTTACTTCTCATTTTGATAGAGGATCYAGCTGAGTTGCCCAGGCTGACCTTGAACTTGCCATACTCCTGCCTCAGCCCCCGGAATGCACCACCACACCTGGCTATTTGTACTTTTTCTAGTTTTGAAATTGTGGTAAAAATACCTCTATGCGGTTCCGTGGTAGAGCGCTTGCCTACACGCATGGAGCCCAACACCATGAAACAAAAACAAATTTGCCACATTCATCATTTTAAAGAAGACAGGCCAGTATTGTTAAGTACAGTCAYGTGCTGTGCGTTTGCCATCATCTCCAGAAGGTTTTCATCTTYCCAAACTGAAGTTCTGTCCCTATTAAACATCAATTCCTGGATTCCCTCTCCGAGACCCTGGAGCCACCATTCCACTGTCCGTTTCTATTAATGTGACCACTCTAGGTTCCTCTGTAAGTGGAATCACACAATATTTGTCCTTTTGTGTCTCTGGCTTATTTCACTGAGCAGAAATCTCTAAGTTCAGCCGTGTTGTAACATGTGTGATAATTCCCTTTTTTTTTTTTTTTTTTTTTGGCAGTTCTGGGGATGGAACCCAGGAACTTTGACATGCCTTTAGACAAGTGCTTTACTACTAAGCTACACCCTTAAGCTAAACCTCCCTTCCTTTTTAAGGTTGAAAAATATTCATTGTGTTGATGGACCACATTTTTTTATTCATTCACCTATCAGTGGACACTTTTGTTTTCTCCCACCTTTTATTTTTATTTTTATTTTTTTAGTAGTGAATGGACACAATACCTTTATTTTATTTGTTCATTTATTTATTTATTTTTTATGTGCTGCCTGGGATGGAACCCAGTGGTGCCTCACATGTGCTAGGCAAGTGCTCTACCACTGAGCCACAACCCTGGCCCCTTCTTCCATCTTTTAACTCTTGTGAATAATGCTGACATGAAATATTGGTGATAAACTATCTATTTGAGTCCTTGCTTCAATCCTTTTGGTTATGTACCCAAAAATGGAATATGTGGATCATATGGTAATTCTGTTTAATCTTTTGAAGAACTACCAAATTGTTCCATACTGGCTGCATCATTTAACATTTCCAAAAGTGCACAAGAATTCTCCAATTTCTCCACATCCTTGACAATATCTGTCATTGTCTGGTTTTTTGGTAATAAGAAACCATAATGGTGTTCCCCATCCCCACCCAGTGCTGGGGACTGAACCCAGCACCTTATATGTGATAGGTAGTCACTCTAACACTTAACTATACCCCTACATCTTTTGATTTCTGGTGGTGCTGAGAATCAAACCCAGTGCCTCATACATGCCAGGCAAGTGCGCTACTGCTGAGCCCCAACCCCAGCCCCTCTTCAGCTCTTTTTAATACTTTATTTAAAGATAGCGTCTTACTAAGTTGCTTAGGGCCTTGCTAAATTGTTGAGACTAGTCTTGAACTTGCAATCCTCCAGCCTCAGTCCCCCAAGCCACTGGGATTACAAGTGTGTGGCACTGCACCTGGCTATTATGGGTAGTTCTTATAAATGCTGTCATTCAATATTTGGTTTCTTCACTAAGCATAATATTTTTGAGGTTTATATGTCACAGCATGTATCAGTCCTTCATCCCCTTTTGTGTCTGAGTGATGTTCCACTCTATGGATAGACCATATTTTGTTTATCCATCATCTGATGATAGACTTTTGAGTTTTCCCCACCTTTTGGCTTTTGTGAACAGTGCTGCACGAATATTTGTGTACAAAAACTTTTTTGTGTGTCTCATGTACAAAATTTTGTTTCAGTTAGTTTAGATACACACCCAGCTGTGGAATTGCTAGGTAGCAGGGTAATTCTATGTTGAACTTGTTGAGGAACTGTCATCCTGTTTACCACAACTGGATGAACCATTTTACATTTCCAAAAACAATTTATGAGGGTTTCAGTTTCTCCACATCTTTGCCAACATAATTATTATTATGATTTTTCACTCTTTAAATTATGTCCATCCTAAGAGGTTTCCTCAGTTTTTTTCTTTATTTCTTTTTTTTCCATTTTCTTTCTCTTATGCCCCCCCAACCCTCTCTCTCTCTCTCTCTCTCTCTCTCTCTCTCTCTCTCTCTCTCTCTCTCTCTCTCTCTCTCTCTCTCTCTCTTTTTTTTTGCATGGCTCAGGCTCAAACCCAGACCTTGTGCATGCTAGGCAAGTACTGTAGCTCTCAGCTACACTCCAGCTTCTTCTTCCTCAATTTTATTAGGAAGAAAAGGGAAAAGAAAGACTGAACAGAGGGGCAGAGAGGCTTATAGATTTGGTTATTGGCCTCTATAATTTTCCACATTTGTGTCCCTCCTCCTACAAGGTGGACCACCCTCTACTGATGTCTGCGGGGTTGATATACACTCTAAGATTATGATTAAAAATGCTTTTAAATACTGGCTATGGTGAACTGCCCTAAACTGACCTTCATATCAGATTTCAATGAAAAGTGTGAGGAGGGGGAGTAAATGGAGTGAAGCAGTTCAAGCTCTCTTCAATGGCCTACTGTGAACTGAGGGGGGGTGTGCTTCAAGACCCTGCTGTGGGTCCAGGGTCCCCTCCAAAGTGCTGCTGAAATTTAGCTGCTATTGTTACAGTACCAAGGTGGACCCTTTAAGAGGAGACAGAGGCCACAAACTCTGTTGTCCTGAGTGGATTAGTGCTGTGCCCCTGGAGACTGAACTTTCTGTCTCATGTCTACTTGCCCTCTACCTTCTGCCAGGTGKTAGAAGGCCAGATGTCGGTGCCACGTCCCTGGAGTTTCTAGCTTCCAGATATGTGAGAAAACAAATTCTCTCCCCCTTCCTTCTCTCTCTCTCTTTCCTTCTGCTGTAGGGCTAGGCAAATGCTCCATTGCAGAGCTACATCCCCAGCTCTTTATCTTTTACTTTGAGACAAGGTCTTACTAATGTGCTCAGTTTGACCTTGAATCTGTGATCCTCCTGCCTCCTAAGCTGCTGGAATTTTTGGAATGTGCCACCCTTCCCAGTTTTTAATTTCTTAAAATAATTACCCAGATTGTAGGACTCTGTAATAGCAACACAAAATTAATGAAGACAGCCCCTCACTTGTATAGACTCCTGCCAAGACACCAGGCTGTTCCCTAAAATGTCTTRTCTATTGATTGAGTAAGTGAGTGCTGGCCTGAAGACTGAACTCTGGGTATTACAACCCCAGCCCTTTTTATTATTTTATTTTGATAGAGGGTCTTGCTA